TTAGACTTCCACTATATATATAATTCGAATTTAAAAATTTTGAGCTTATTATAGATAAACTAACATTAGATGTCATTAAAATAAAATTTATATGGAATTTATAATTATTTTTAAAATTTTATAAAATAGAAAAATTGATATTTAATCGTAGCAAACCAGATAATCACCTAATATTATTAATATAGAATTTCGCTCAAATTCAGACTTTTAACTCATCCTTATTTATGTAAAATTAACAAGAGAAAACTTTGATGGCACTCTCATCATTTTAATTGGCCATAGAAGTGTCAAAATGAACGACCCCAATATGACCCAGCATAAATCCTTCAACTCGAATATTACCCATTTAAAATGAACGGATAAAAAATATAGACCCAAACCAACCCAATTGCAACTAAGGGTGACAATAAATGACCCAATCCTAGAACTCGGCCCAAAAATATGTATTCAAGTTGACCCATTTAATAAATAGGTCGGATTCAAGCCTTATATTCTAGCTTATCAATTAATCGGATTGGGTTTCAGTTAATCCACCAACCCAATTTTGACCTAAAATTGGCACATTTATTTTTTTGTTTTATTGCTATAATTTTCTTATTTTTTCATCAATTAAATTAAAATCATCAATTAATTTAAAATCTATGATTAAAAATAGGATTGCAAGAGAACCAAACGTTCAATAAGCTACTCGTTACTCGGTTCGATAAAAGCTCATTTGTGATCGTTTAACTAACTAAACAATAAACTTAAACAACATTTTAATACTCGATACTTAAATAAACAAGTTTGAACACTAATGTGTTCAGTTCATTTATGTTCACGAACAACATCATTTGAAGCTCGTGAATATGCTCGACGTTAAGCTCAATAAAAAGCTCGATTCATGTTCAATCCATAACTCGTGAATAAGCTCGCTAAAAATTTGATTAATATTTAATTACAAAATTGATAAATATACATAATATAAATATTTTAATATAATTATTCGAATTAATAAATTTTAAAGTAATTAAATATTATAATATATGTTATAGATTTAATTTCCTTACAATTGCTAATTTATTATATTACATTGTTAGATCTTGTTCATTTGATAGCTCAAGAATACTTGTTAGATTTGTTAATAAATATGTTTGTTTGATAGTTTAAAAAATTTGCTAACTATGTTCACGAACATAGTTTATTAATGCTTGTTTGTTTGAAGCCCGATAAGCACTAAACGAATCTAACATGAACCTAACATGAACACAAACAATAAAACTCGAATCAAACACGAATCAAACTTGAACAAACTAATGAACACTCACATACTTGGCTTGGTTTGGTTCGTTTGGAACCCTAATTAATAAGCTAATAAAAATATTTTTAATTAAAATGGGTTATTAGGTCAATTTGAGGTTGCTAGTGGGGTTGTTCAAGTTAAATTTTTTGACATGTTTATTAAATAGGTCAGGTTTGAGTTGGCCAAATTTCGGTAAGGTCAATTTCGAGCCGAACCCATACTCGATTCGTTGATCCATATTGACGGTTTATTATTCTATGCATAGTTTGGAGGGCGTTCAGAGACCAAAAAAAATGTACCACGTCACCCCATTGCTCGGTACCGAGCTCGGTACTCATGCTCGATACCACTCAATACTACTTGATACCAAACGTTTAACTGGACGGGAGAACTGTTCGATATCCGCACTAAATAATAACTCAAATATAAAGTACGCATCAAATGACCCCTCTAATTTATTAATTTATTTGAGAGTACAGAATCACTCCCTATTATTATCTTCTTAAACCTAACCAAAATACAGTAAGAAACAATAGCAATGGCAGCTAACACACACCACCGTCTCCTAAGCTCAACCTTCTCAACCTCCATCCTCCTCCCTCCTCTTAAGCGCAAAACCCCTTCCTCTCTCCCTTCCTTCTCCCTAATCTCCGCCCGCGTCGACAGCCGCCCCCTCCGCGCCGCTGTGATCGGCGGCGGCCCCGCGGGATCCAGCGCTTCGGAAGCCCTCGCCGCTGCCGGCGTGGAAACCTACCTCCTGGAGCGCAGTCCCGATGGGTCCAAACCCTGCGGCGGCGCCATCCCGCTATGTATGCTGGACGAGTTCTCCATCCCCGAGGAGCTCATCGACCGTCGCGTCACTCGGATGCGGATCATCTCCCCTTCTAACCTCCACGCAGATTTCGGCAAAACCCTTCGTCCGGGCGAGCACATCCCCATGCTCCGCCGTGAGGTTCTCGACGCTTTCCTCCGCCGCAGGGCGGAATCAAATGGGACCCGACTGATTGCCGGTCTATTTACCGCCCTTGAATCACCGTCTTCAGCCAAGGAACCGTACATCGTCCATTACGTCAAGGATGGTTCCATCAATACCATGGCCGTGGACGTGGTGATCGGCGCCGATGGGGCAAATAGTCGAGTCGCCAAGGCGATCGACGCCGGACCCTATGCTCAGGCCATCGCGTTCCAGGTATGGTTTGTCATCTAGAATCCGTTTTCGGTGATCAGTTTGGGTTGATTACATATGAAAATTATGAGAGCGGAAGCTCAATAATCAGAAGTAGGGGTGTCAACCGAACCCGAGCTGACACTGATCTAAACAAGTCAACCCGAATCAGACCCGTTTTTGCAAACGGGTCAAACATTTCAACCCGACCCGCTTTGGTTGCCAGGTTGACCCGACCAGAACCCGAGTGTGGCTGTGCGCGATCGCGAGCAGCAGCCGCGGAGTCCAAGTCGCGACTCGCAAGCTCGCCTGTGGACTGCGGAGCGGAGCTGGTGCGGGCTGAATGCAGGATCCGCCCATTTTGCCGAAGTCGCGGGACGTCGGGTCAGGCTAGACGCTGAGGTCACGGGACGCCAGGTCAGGCTGGACATGAGTTGCGGGACGTCGGGATCCGCTGAGACGCCGACTGACGAGTGCAGGTTGGTCCGACTGGAGTGCTGGAAGCGAGAATCCCGCGGCAGGATCCGCTACTCCACGGCTGTACGGGCTCGCCGAGCTGGACGCGCGCGAGTTCGCGGGACCTGACGCGGATGCGACCTGAGCAGTGGGTTTGTGAAACGGGTCAATTTGGGTTGACCCGCGGGTTGTCGGGTCAACCCGAACCCGAGCTGTTTTTCAAACAGGTCAAAAATCCGAATCCGGACCCGGCCCATTTCGCAAACGGGTTGACCCAAACCTGGATTTTTCTAGGTCGGGTCCGGAAGTAGAGCTTCGTCCAACCTCCGCACAGAATGATTTCTCTATATCCAGACGAGTATTTCTGCCTAGACGCTTGCACAGAATAATTTCTCCATTTACACAAGCTAAGTATATATTTAGAAACTAGCGGCATAGAAAGGTGGACTTAACAACTAGTTAATTTTATATGTTCAAAAAAAAAAAAAAAAAAAAAACTCAGGCACCAAATTATAGGAGAATTTATTCAGTCAGTAGCAGGTATGAATGTAACAAAACAAATTAACAGAGTAAAACCAATCCAGCCAAAAGATTCTGAAGGCATAAAATGAACCATTATAAACAGAAAGAGCAGATTGAACAACTGAATAAGTAATTCAGATAGAGCAATCACCAAATGCAAAAAGCAATAGAAAACCCAAGAGGGCCAAAACAGCGAGGGAGAGCCAACTATTAAGTCATCCATTTTTTAAGCTAGTCACAAACAACAAGTAAATTGTGGCATTTTCATGCATCTGAAAGTTAGTTCTTGGGGATTCTAGTTACCATTTCCAAAAGAGTTTGTTCCTATTAGGATCAATGGAGATAGCTTTAATATTGTTAAAGCAGAAAGATATAGCCTAAAAAGGCCTTGGGGATTCTACTTACCATTCAAAATAATAGAGTTGATCTTTGAAAACATGAGAATATCAGAAAGATAGTTAACATAAGGCCCCAAAATCTCTCTGGGAGAATGCCCACTAACCCAGCAATATGTTAATTATTTCAAAAAGAAATAGGCAATTCCTTAAAAAGATTTACGAAGCAAATGAACCTCAAGATATTTAAGGGAAAGAGAGCCACATTGGCCTCCTATATTGCACCGATATAGATACGACATGATACGGATACAGGACGCATCAATTCTTAAAAATACAGGATAGGGGTAATACGCTGACACGTCATTATAATTTATAAACAATACATAAAAATTAAAAAAACAATCTAAGCGTAATATTTGAAATGACAAAAAAAAATGAAAGCAACATCATTTGTAGCCTTGTAGCTTATAATATCAAAATAAAAGTAAGCATTAAGTCAAAAGAAGAGTTAAAACTCATTTGCATAATAAGAATTTTGTGGCATGATTCCACTAATCATGTTGTTGCATAATTTGCTGACATGTTTACTTAATAATATATGAGAGCTAAATTTTTTTTTTTTTTTTTTTTTTTTTTTTTTTTTTTTTTTTTTTTTTTCATTTAAGAAGACATACATACAAACCCCGATACCATGATTTTTTTAATACATGAATCAAAAATCAAAGCATTACAAATGCAAAATAATTGATGCCCTAATAAACATGCCTTTTATTCTACTAATAATTTACCTGACTTGAATGAAGTTTGGTTTACCTGACAAATGAATTATAATGAATTACACTACATTTATTTTACTTTGCATCTTTTATTCATCCAACTAAACAATAAAATTTTCAAAACCTATGCATTTGGAATACTGTGCACTATTATGTAATCCAACAAAACTACCCCTTAATAATAGACTAATTATTCTGTGCGGACACCAGTCTGAGAGAAATGTTCGGATTTGCTGCACTTTTACTGTTCTTTTGTTGAGCTTTTGCAAAAGGGCATCAAATATTTAATGTTTACTAAATAATTGAATATTTGTTGTGCTTTTGCTGCGCTTTTAAAAAGGGGCACAAAAAGTGCAATAAAAATGCATTCATAATTGAATATTTGTTGCTCTTTTACTGTCTTTTTATTTAAACCTTATCTTCTTCAACGGTGAAGAAATGATGGTTCTTGCATATTAGTAGATTTTTCAACTAGGTCAGATCCCATGATTTTTTCACTTTTCAAGTTTTCAACATAAAAAAATTATAGACTTACTACTTTTTAACTATGTGTGTTGACTTTTTTTACAACGTTGAGATATAAAATATATATTCTACTGACTCAAATGTTTTAGCACGTAACACTTTCAATATATCTTATTATTTTTCAACTTTCTAAAGGTTTTTTCTCTCAAAATTTTTAAAATTTTAAGTTGTCTTTTGACTAAATGAATGATATTCATTGAAGGCTATCATTCAACTAATAATATGTGTGTGTATCTATATATATATATTACATAGAGATGCAAAACATGTTAATCAAATGAAACAAATAATTGACTTGAATGAAGGTAATTATTAATCTACAGGGGTGACGGCGGGTAGATACCCCGTTACCAAAAAAAAAAAAACTAACAGTCATAAACATGCCTTTAATTCTCTGATAAATGAAGGTCAAGTCTTTAATTGTCTGATAAATGAAGGCCAAGTCATCCTCACCTTTAAATAGTCAGGCAGATTTAAAGCATTGGGAAATCAATTTGCTTTTACATCTAGTGGCATGAATAAGATATTCTTGGATCATTTTAACTTCTTGTGAGAGAGAGTCCAAGGGCTTATCTTCAGGCAAAGAGAACATATTTTGTTCATCTCATTAGAATGCACTAGAATTAGAGAGATTGTATGATTCCAATGGTTCATTTTAATGGTAAATTTAATAATTGTTAGCTTCTTTCATAGGAATGGGCTCACCATAAGCAAATAAACCCTAAGAATTGATGATTATTCATAGAGATAAAGATATTAAAAAAAGACCTTGAGATTTCCTTGTGTAATGAGAAGCAGAGAGCTAGAAATTCTTTCAATTAAAATTTCTGCTTGTTCATGTTGTGTTTTGTACAATCACTTGCAGGAACGGATTCGATTGCCACCGACCAAGATGGAGCGGTACGCCGATCTGGCCGAGATGTACGTCGGCGGCGACGTATCGCCGGACTTCTACGGGTGGGTTTTCCCCAAGTGCGATCACGTGGCAGTGGGGACTGGGACGACGGTCGCCAGATCGCAGATCAAGAAGTTTCAGGCGGGGATAAGGGCACGAGCAGGGGGAAAGATCGCCGGCGGCGAGGTGATAAGAGTGGAAGCGCATCCCATACCGGAGCATCCACGACCGAGGAGAGTGAGAGGGAGGGTGGCGCTGGTTGGTGACGCGGCGGGGTACGTGACGAAGTGCTCCGGGGAAGGGATCTACTTCGCGGCGAAGTCTGGGAGGATGTGCGGGGAGGCTATCGTTAGGATTTGGAAGAAGGGGGAGGGGATGGTGACGGAGGAGGAATTGAAGGAGGAGTATTTGAGGAAATGGGATGGGGAGTATTTGGGGATGTTTAGGTTCCTGGATTTGTTGCAGAGGGTGTTCTATGGGAGCAATGTCGGGAGGGAGGCGCTGGTGGAGATGTGCCAAGATGAGTACGTGCAGAGGATGACGTTCGATAGCTATTTTTATAAGAGGTTGGCTGAAGGGGATCGGTGGCGGGATGTGGGTTTGATGTGGAAGACGGTGGCGAGTTTGGTGAAGGCGCGGATTGTGGGGAGGGAGATGGAGAACTTGATGGAGATGGTGAGAAGCAGCTGGTAGGAAAACGAGCTAAATTTCTTTTAGACGAAGAGCCGTTGTATCTAAGTAGACTTAAAAAAGAACAATTATTAGGTCCGGTGACCGGACGTAGCTCTACGTTCGGTTACCACTGAGATCGCGTTACATGTTCTTACTCTTTACCGCCCGGCCGATGACTTGACCCGGACCGGAACCCGGGAATGCTATGTTCGCGTATTGCTATGTATTACTTGGTAGTTGCTCGGTATTGCTCTGTATTGTTAGGTATTGCTGGGTAATAACGAGAAATACCGCTTTGTGAAGACCAATACCGAGCAATGCCGAGTAATACCGAGTTTTTCTAGAAAAACTCGGTATTGCTCGGTATTTGTCTTCACATAATGGTATTTCTCGTTATTGCCCAGCCATACCTAACAATACCGAGCAATACATAGCAATATCGTTTTGTCATGGATTTAAAAAACGCACGTGCGACATACCCACTATTTGTCGGGTCGGGTCCACGGTTTTGTGCCTGCTACATGGCGCTATCTCAGTGCCGGCCAAACGTAGCTCTACGTCCGTTCACCGGACCAAATAAAAGTTCCTTAAAAAAAGATCTGTTTGGGCAGCTACAGTATTTAAAAAAGTTGATTGCGGAAAGCAGATTTAATTAACATATGGTAATGAATCAACTCATAGATATGCACTATTAGAATATTATGATGATGAGTTAATAAAATAATGTTGCCACAAATACAATAAAAAGATTTTCTAAAGCTAAAAGTTATAATAGCAAATCTTTTCACTAACCAAATAATTTAGCTCTGCGTAAGAATTAGCTGTTATCTTATGATTTAGACTTTGTTTTGGACCGTTTTCGTATTGTTTTTTAAAATAATTTTTTAGTACTAAGAAATAGTTTCAGATATCAAGAAGAAAATCATTTCAAATGAAACTTTAATTTATATTGACTTAGTTAATCTCAAGTAAAGAAGCAATTATTCTTTGATTTGGGTTTTGATTTGGGGAGGGTATGTTCATATGTCGGCTGAATCTCTTGGTCAAGGTAGAGGTCAAATGAAGCATAATGACTGTGTTGAACTTGTCAAAAGCTAGCCTTTGGGAAGATTGTAGTGCAAGGATAAAAAAATTTGAATATCTTAAGCTGCCCAATTCATAATTTCAAAAAAAAAAAAAAAGTGGCATGTTAGCATTAAGGGGAAAAACGCAAAGGAAATTTAATAATACGGGACATGCAGCACATTAAAAATTAAATATTTTGTTACAAATTCAGCTAAATTTTCAATCAATTTATTCAGCCTAAATAGCATTACCTATACGAAATGTATTCACCGGCACCTTTGTTAAACTGGTGAAAAAACTGTAATTACTAATTACATGACTTCAACTTTACTCGCTTAAAAAAGCGCAAAATCCACCATTTTTAACACAATTTGATAACAATACATTTACAAAAAATTTGAAACATCAAAAGTACATATTATTAGGTTTTGTTTGTAACTGTTTTTTTTTATTCTTAAAGCAATATTTTTAATTAAAAATTTTAACTTTTGCATAAAAAATTATTTTAAGCATAAGGAAGGCAGCCCAAATGCAAAACTACTAGACTAACTCTCTGTTTCCACATACCTGAATTAAAAATTACTGGTTCTAGGATCATATTATGAAATCGATTGGTTGGAAGTTTTGACTATCAATTAAGAGATTTTGAATTTGAAATTTACGTATGTGATAATTTTGTTTTAATTGATCTAAATATTCTAAAAAAATTACAAACAAGTAAAAAAAAATCATTTGATGTGACATATTTATTTTCTTTCACAAGCTAATATCAATGACTAAAATTTAAGCTTCAAATCAAAATACCTTAAATTTGAATTTTTTTACATGCCTATTTATGAATTTGAGATTGCTCCCTCAAAATTCCAATAAAAAAACGTCAATGGCTCTAAACCATGGAGTTCCAATCCAACCAGTTCATTTCCATGTCCAGTTCAATGCTATGCGTAGCTTATCAATTCTGCAGAGTTCCGCGTGGCCTCAAAACGAGAAATATCTGAGATTGAACTTCTCAATGCTACTATGGTAAATCCTCATAAACTCAATCTACGTGATGGATGATCTCCAAATCCCATATCTTGATTATCACGTTTATTTGACTTATAATCAACCATACATTATTCTTTTGTTTTTGTGGCTATCTTCGATTTCATTCGAGACAACGATTTTACTATTATTTTACAGTAAATTTTTTTTAACTTAAAATTTTGTACCATAAAATCACTTCAAAAATCAGTAAAAAATTTATCCCAAATCAACAAATATCTGTGAACTTTTTAAACTACAATTTTGTAAGGAACAATTTTTTTATTATTTTCTCCAACAATTTTTTGATACAAAAAATGTCTAAAAACCAACTGACAAAAAAAATCCCAAACGAAACCACTATTAGAGAAATTTATCCCTCTTTATCTTATTTTTAATTTTATTCATATTTTGAGCATAAATTAAAATTTTAAAAAATTAGGTGTTGCTAGGTCACACAATTAGAGGAAGTCAATTGGCAATTAGAGAACTCAACCAATAATAGCACCCTGCATAATTTAAATTTGTAAACTATATCATATTTTTAATTTAACAAACATATTAAAAAATGGAATATTATGCTTAAACATCCATAATATCACCAGCAACAACAGAACTTGTATTCTTAAAGTGATAGAAACAATAAATTTTATTTCAACAACAAAAAAAATCTAAATTTATCAAACAGAATCTCAATAATATAATAGTTGAAGTCTTTTTATACTTATATAATGCAAGAAAAAACTCTTCCAAACAGTGAATAGCTATCATAAAACCGCACGTAACACCGGAACCAATAGAATTTGCAAGACGATTAGCAACACTGCAACTGCAAAACACAAGAGATAATATTTCGACATCCACACAAGATTTTCCATCACAGCGAATAGAAGATGTGCTTTTTAAAGTAAAAGAAGGAGATGAAAATACTCCGCTGGAGCGTGAGAAGAATTCAAACCATCCGCGCACTCCAACAAAAATCTGCCTCTCAACCCTGCATTTACAGGAATTGGTCAAGCAAACAGTAATGAAATAACATTAAGGGCCATGCAATAGCTTGAAAAGCGAAAATTCGCTGAAGGAAAGTTTCCAACATAAGAGAAATTACCTTGTTGGCAATGTTGCTGGAAAGCCAGTCAAGCCCTTCATAGAGGCCCTCACCAGAGGTGGCACAAGTGCTCTGAATGTACCTGAAAATAAGATCCCAGAATCGGACCCATCAGATAAGGCAGCCAAAGTAATATTCAACAAAATCATTGTACTGAAACTTTTGAGTATCACAAGAACGTCTTCTCTCATCTTCATCATTCGACTATCCGAAGCATTTGGGAATGCACTTTATGAGTCCTATTTACCATTTCTCATCATGAACTTTTTAATCTATTTTGCACAAATCTCTTTGCACATTTTTTTTACCATTAGTCTGTTTTTTTTCTTTCAAATTTCATTAGTTCATTTCATCCATTTATCTTACTGGTGTGTTATCTAAACTTTATTGTCATGCTCAAATCATATTAATTTATTTTTCACTGCCATCTTGATGGAGATATCAATAAATAGAAAGTATATCATAGAAGAGACCGTAGATCAACGGTCACGATTGAGTCGTTATATTATTAATTATTATGTGTGTTGTATGTGATTTAATTTAGTTTATGAACTTTTCCTTAATGTTATGTTATAAGTCCAAGGGCATTTGTGTATTTTGTCTTGTCATGTGATGGTGCCTATATATATATGTATATATATGTACATACATATATATATATGTACATACATATATATATATGTACATACATATATATATATGTACATACATATATATATATATATGGCTCTCTTCCCCCCTTGTAAGGGAATGATGATTATTTTTTAATGAATTCTAATTTTTGCTCTCTTCTCTTGTGTGAGAGTGAATGTGGTAGAGTGATGAAGCTTTAGGAGAAGTCAAATGAAGTACCCAATAGCCCATTAAGGCGAGCTCTTGGTTTTCCCCTTGTATCTCTTTCCCTTTCCCACCTTCTTCTTCCTCCCTAACCGCCAGTCAACCCCCTTCCCCTTCCACCGCCCACGGCAAACCCACCACCTCCCCATCCAAGTTCTCAATCCAAAATTTCCCAAAACTGAAATTTTGACATTTGGGATTCCAATTGAACCCCACTTGTACCTTGGAACTCTTCATGTTAATCAATGAGAAGTTGACCAATTAATTGCCTCTCCTTAATTTTCATTCTCAAAATTTGTTGGGAATTGAAAAAGCCAGAACCCCTTCACTTTCCCCGTGGTTGGCCCACTCTTGGAACTCTTCATATTAATTAATGGGAAGTTGACCCATTAATTGCCTCTCCTTATTTTCATTTTCAAAATTAGTTGGGAATTGGAAAAGCCGCAACCCCTTCCCTTTCCCCATGTTTTGCCCACTCTTGGAACTCTTCAAGTTAATTAATGGGAAGTTGACATATTAATTGCAAAGTTAACTTTATCTTTTCCCTTTCCCAAAACAAATTTTCCATTTTCCAATCTCACTCTCTCTCGCATTCCCCTAAGCCCCACCACTCTAATTAACCTCATACCATTCCTAATCTCCCCCCAAAAAAACCATGGCTTCCCTCCTTCCAAATTCAGCCAGCATCTCTTCTTCTCCACTTTGAAGCAAGACACAAAGAAGGCACTACGAAGCAACCATTTGAAGATCAACGGGCCAAGACTACACATCTGAAGGAAGCCTCCCTGCGACGCAAATACCTAAGTCTTTCTACTCTTACTTCATACATTTAAGTAGATAGCTTTGAAGTCCAATTCTCTGTGGCGTTACTATTTTCATGTTAATTTAAATCCGCTAGCTTCTTAAATCATTGAGTGCATGGTTCTCATAGTGATTGATCTATGTTAAATGTTGAATCTTTTTTTCCAACCCATGTTAGCTAAGTTGTTGATTTGATTTATCCTTCTTGAATTCTAGAACTTTGGTTGTGATTAATTGCTATTTGTGGATTGCCTTTCTTGCTTGTTTGAAGCTTGTTTAAGCATCCCCATGATTAATAACTTGTTGATTTTAAATTTAACTTATGTTTAATTTCATAATACAAGTCTTCACATGCTAGTCCTACATCACTTCTCTTCGATAAATGCAACTTTGCGTCCTGGAGTATTCACGGCGGTAGAGAAATATATGGTTTAACGTCTTAATATTGTACGAAGATCCAGCACACAAGCAGATAAGAGAGGGGGTGAAACATTCATAAGAGACACCAGAGTTTTTACGTGGAAAACCCCTAAAAAGGGGGAAAAACCACGGGGCCTAGCCCAGTTTGAATGAATCCACTAGTATTTGTAGTCGTTACAAATGAGGCTCTTCCTTGGGAGAAGGCCTTGGATTGATGTGAAGCTCTATTTATAGATTTTCTGGAGTGGCATGGCCCGTAAATAGGCGTGAGATCAGGGGTGAATAGGGAGTGGTTGAATGGACGGCCGATATTGAATCCTACAATTGTGCACCGTTCGTTGGTCATTTGAGGGCCTTAGTGATGTCGGAATTCAGTGATCATGGGCTCGTTGGATTCGTCTCGTCGAACCGTTCGATTCGAGTATAAGCTCGTCAAAATCGGAGTCCGTTTGGTAACTCAAATTGTGGTTTGAACCTTCCAACAGCGCTTTGGGTCCATGATTCGGACCCATTTGGGCTCGGATCGAGTTGATCTTGGTGTCGACGGGTCCGTATTTCCGAGACGCTCAGTTTGACTGTAAGCTCGCTGAAATCGGAGTTCGGGTGCTCCCAAAATTAATTTTTGAAGTTTCCAACTAGCTTTTGCCTCGAGATTCGTGCCCGATCAAGATAATTTTTTGACAATGTATCAAATATTATTATTTATCAATCTATCATTAGTTTTTCACATCCTAGTATTCTCATTTATATCCCTTTCAATGACTTAATTAATCTTTAAAAACCACCACTTAGATCTACGCATAGTTAACCCAATTATAATTTATAGAATTTATGTCCAACTCTCCATGATTATCTTATGGCATCTTACATGCTTACATCAATTTTTTTTTTCATTCTAACCATCCACCAATAGTTTTAGAAGTAATGTCCTCTATATCACATCTCTCAAGTATAATAAGAGAACCAAGATACTTAACAAGTAAAACTTATCACATCCAAATATTAATTTATCTTCTAAAAATATAAGAGGATAATTTCTAACATTGCACAATAATTACAAAACACATTCATTTTTTTTTCATTGATCCCAAGTACTTTCATCTCCCTAAACACTTTCTTCACTATTTTAATTTTTAATTTATTTCAACAAGGATCTCACTAATTGAAAATCATCTATAAAAATAAATAAACCAAAATGCCTCACTTTAAATATCCTTACAAGGTTTAAATATCCTAACAAGAATGTCTTCTAAGTCATAACTACTAGAAAATATGAAGATGGACATACTCCTTTACCGTCAAACTATTCAAAGTTCACTATTCAGAACTATGGCTTTGAGAAGAAAGCATCATACCAGTGTCGCTGACGAAGTGAATGAAGACCAAGCTTATCAGTGATTTCAGCAGCATTCATAGCATTTGGCAGGTCCTGTTTGTTTGCAAACACAAGCAAGACAGCATCACGCAGCTCATCCTACAAGAATCAATATAAAGCTGAATAAGAATAAGATTCAAAATACTTGCAAAGCAAAAGATTAATGACAAAAGGTTCAGTGAAAACAGAGTATCGTCATATCAAATGTTCACTTTCAAAGGCTATGACATGTGGACCACAGCACTCACCACCAACTTACCGATAATCAATCTTTCATTCAAATAGAACTAGAAAAGGAAATTTGCATCTGACCTAAAGGTTCATCTAGAGCAAACCTCCTTGCTGCAAATAATGCGGCATTTTTAAAAATGGTTTTAAAATACTAGTGGATCAAATAATATGGCTCTCCATCCTCCCGCAGCATCTTCTATATATTATTCAATAATTGAAGACTTCACCCCATTTTATTCTCATATTCACCTCAATTGGTTCATGAATGAAACTGAAGTTTCTCAGATGAAAGACTAATTATCCGTAAAAGAATTTTGAAGGGAAGCCTACAGACTGCAATTGAATCATAAGTTGACAGTAAAATGGTATTGGTCTCAATCAGACTGCTCTGAACTGCATGGATCGACAAAGAACAAATCCCAGCTATAACTGCATGGATCGACAAAGAACAAATCCCAGCTATACTCAGCATGTGTGTACTCTTTCTCAGCCTTTGAAAGGAGTTCATCAGCACCTACATCTCCGATACAAGAATAGGGAAAAATCTCCAGGCCTAACAATAGAAATGTTCCTGTCCAAGGACCAGGAAAAATCTCCCGGCCTAACCATAGAAATGACAAACCCAACAAACAGGTCCAAGGACCGGGAAAATCCCCCAACCATAGAACGACCCAGCAATATAGGCTAATTACTTGATGGCTTTCAGAAGGTCCCTGGAACCCATGAATGCATCGAAATGAGGGCCTTATGGTGATTCACTTGACCAATCATCAAGCAAATGAGGATCACACTCCAATAGTTATCACCTCCATAATGCAGCTTAAAACATCATCCAAGCTGGCGTTAAGGAGGCGATGATGACGGCCACAACACCAAATCTTAATTTCTAGCTTCCATGGACAAGCATAAGAGCAATTACTTTTGTGCAGATGATTTTTTTTATTATTATTGATAATGCAGTTCCCTGCCCTTTACCCTCTAAGGTCAACAAAAAATTTAAATAGTAAATCTCCAATATGAATACATCATGAAATTAAATAAGTAAACAAAACTGCACCTAGTAATATTATTCTTCCAACTGTGATAACCAAAATTATACGTGAGATAACAAACAAAATAATATGAAAACAAAGTACACTTGGGACGGAACAAAAATTGACGTACATCTATCAGAAAATACACCTCAGGACATACCTCATTTAGCATCCTGTGCAGCTCATCCCGGGCCTCGACAACACGATCTCTGTCATTACTATCGACAACGAAAATCAGACCCTGTGTATTCTGGAAGTAGTGCCTCCACAATGGTCTGATCTGTTTCATTTCCAGTATAACAAAAGCCAAAAGGTAGGTAGAAATAAGTTAGCTGCAGTGCTTTTTCTTTTAGTGTGGTAGTTCCATCAAAATCTTAGGGCAGGATGCTATAAGAATTACGTCTTCCTCACATGAACCTTATGAAATTTCACAAGTATAATGAGGATCTATATTCTCATGCTCAAACAACTTCGCAAAACATACCTTATCCTGACCACCAACGTCCCAAACGGTGAAGCTAATGTTCTTGTACTCAACAGTCTCTACATTGAACCCTGCAATACAACGCTGATCAAGCCTTAAAAATGACTAAATACACTGCATTTTTTAAGTGAAATATCTTAAAAAAAACTATATTAAAAAAAAAGACCAAAAACTGTTTGGCTTGTGGTCTGGCCTGTTCCTCGTCCTCACTAAAGATACAAGCACCCTTTATTGTACATCAAGCAACATAAGCAACCGCCGAAACTTTGGCCAATATAGCCAAAACAAAAACATTAACTAGATTTTCAACAGTTCCAAATAGAGATAGATACGTAAGTGCAGCATCCGAGAAAACTGTACCAAAAACTAATGCGGAGGAAGAAAAGGTACGGAGAGGGGTCCAGAAGCAAGAGTAAGCAATCAAAGTACAAAAAAAGAGTTATTCCCTTAATAACTTCCGCTGAAAGCTTCTGATATTTTTACTCATCAGACAATTAGTTCCCTTTACTCGTATACAAAAGAATTACTCGAAATAGTAATAAGCTTGTTGGCACATTTCAGACTTAGAGCAGTCAAACTCATGATTAGGTCTATTTCATGCTAAATACAAATAAATTAACAAAGAAAAAAAGATAATCATCCAAATTCAGAATCCTCCGTCAACTCTACTGGAATGATCATATTATTTGGCCATACAAGAAGTGCAAGTGCAAGAGAGGTAATTAAAAGCCATTGAGAGCAAAAATATGGCCAACAGACGGATTATACAGCCCATACTCGTATGTCATTGATTTATCTCAAACAATATGATGAAATTCATATATTCAACCCCTATAATTGAGGTTCCTAACAAGAGCATCATGTTCCTAATAGATTTTCCAATAGATCCTCAAGAAATATACAAGCGAGCTGAATTTTTTTTCTAAATAATTTTCAGTGATTTCCACTTGTGACTAGAGAAAGTTGTTTGATCTCTTTTATAATAATAGATAATTAAAAGTTCCTGCACTCATTTATAAATAAGTGCAATATTTCCTAATCTCCATAAACTAGTTTTCAACATTTTAATTGTATAAAAAAAGGGTATTTAAGATCCGCAATGATTTTTTAACACCAAAATTTATCAAGGGGACCGTCAAACTCTCAAAGAGCAGAAGCACAGGAAGACAGGATAAATAAAGTAGGAAGAAGATAGGCCAAGGCATAATCGTTGAGGTTTTTTAGACTGGTGCTTATTGAGCTTACAGGTTGGCTGTAGCTGGAATATAAAATTAAATTTCTGTTCCTATTTACTATTATCAGATTAAAATTTATATTCCTACATGTCGTGGGATGTATAATAATAGGGAATATTCAATTTGTATAGATACATTAGAATTTGCTGTAATAAAATTAATGGACAGGCTCAATTCTTTTGGCAAAGTGTTACAGGGTCTAAAGAGTTTCAAGCGGGGATTAGCATGGGGTTAGCATGTTTGGACATTTTACAGGGTCTAAAGAGTTTATAACCAATATTATTTGCAAAGAACATTCTAGTAGCAGTACAATTTTTAATACATTAAATATTACATTATACCATGAACCATCATAAAATGTCTTATATTTTATCATCTTCCATCCGCTCATAACTTCACATACACCACATAATATCACTTTTTTTTCCTTTAACAAAAATACTAATCTAATTCCTACAGTATTCTTAGTGATGAATATTAAAAATATCCAGTAAGATTGAAAGATAGTCCTTGTAATGATTCATGGCACTCTTTTAAGGAAACTCCAATCATCATGCACCTATTTTTTGGAAGGATATCAAACCAATAATTTATCATAGTTGAACTTTTTTCAATCTGCATAAAAATGATATGCAAATCTTAATATACAACTTATCTTCAATCGAGATGTAGCTACATGTAGTGCCAAGTCTACATGTCTTATCCGAGCATATAGACCCAAAAGCTTATACTTATCAGGATTCATATTCTACAGGATTGTAGCAAAATTATAACCATAGATAAATTTTCAAGATTGTCTATGATCCATTTTCAGGGAATGTTGTTTCTCCATGATTCTTGTATCTTATCAATACTGCAACTTCATGTGACTAATTGGATATTGATCATATTCTATCATAACTCTTTTCTGCAACTTATGCTTGCTAGGCTTGCGGGTTGATGTGACAGGGATATACAATTAAATTCTTGTTTCCTATATAAGTTGCCTCTGTTATTTTGCAACTTATTCAAGAGTGCGAATTCATATGATTATGAGGATGGTGTGATAGGAAATACTTGAGTTCGCAAGTAACCTAACCAAAATCGGCGAACATTCACAGCAAAGCTGCTGTCCACAGCAAGAGAACAGCAGAAATCTGCTGTTTACAGCAGAAAAACAGCAAAACCACAAGGAAATCTGTGAGAAAACTCAAAGAAAAGCTTGTATTCCACTAGTCGATGAATAAAATAGCAATATACAATTGATCCTCAATTCGAGAGGAGGATCGTTCTCTCCCAAATCTCTGGCAACGCCAAGAGCCCAAAGAAAACCTAAATCTAAGAGATCTCAAATTTCAGCCAAATTCAAGATGATCAAACCCTAGGAAAATCTACTATTTAATGCATACAATTCAAAAGGAATTCCCTAAACAGTCCCTACAATCAATTTCCCTCCTAAACTCCCTCAATTTCCTTCCCGAAACCGTCCCGCAAGGCGCGCGTCTCGCGCGGCTTTCGCCCAGGTCGCTGTTTTTTGCGATTTCACGCGTGAATCGGTCCCGCCTGGTCTGTCCAGTGGACCGGTCTAACATAGTGTTCCTCTTCTATCAGGATTCTTGTTCACGGCCAATGCTTCTTACTAGGCTTACAAGTTTTTGCAGTTTGGATATACAACTAAATTCTTGTTTCTTATCTTCAATTACCTAGTGCAAGTGTATTGCGAGTGTGTGCATATATATTGACCGATTATTACACCTATCACACCCACTAAAATTGATATAAATAACTAGTCATGTTAATGCTAAAACATCTATCTATTAAATTTTTTTATAAGTCACCCCACTTTGTATGTATTCTATAAGCATTTATCCCATACAAAAACTATGTACTTAATATTGATCATTGATGTAATCATATATAATTAAAAAAATTATCAGTCGACTATTGTCAATACTATCAAGTGCTTCATCATATATTTATATATAACTTTTGTAGTTTTCCTTCCTCGATGCGCACCAAACTAAGTCTTGTGTGAATCGCATATTCTCATGATCTATAAAACCATATATATATCATTTTTCTGCTCAATATATTAGTTCATTAGCTCAACAAAAAAAAAAAGATTTTATATTGGCTCTTCTTAAAATAAAACCAAATTAAGTGTCTAAACCAAACATTATCTTTCTACTTCTATGTTCAATGAGTCTCTTCCCTAATTTCATTTTATGACTCATAAGTTTAGTTCATCTATAATAATCATAATCTTGAACAAGTTCTTTGTTCCTAAATATTGATACCAAGATGCCTCTTTTTCATTCATTTGACATCCTCATAGTCTACAAAACTCCATTCAAATCATTTTTAACCAAACAATTACAATTTTATCACAAGTCTTCAAATCTCAAAAGGTATCTCATTTAGACCTAAGAATTTCTCTTCATGCATTGTCGACCTAGTTTTTAGCAAAACTTGCAATTGTTCTCGCGATCCCTTCTTTAAAGTAAAAAATTAAACTATATTCCAGTTAATTGAAGTCAATTTGATGACATGAGCAAAATTTGATGACATCGAGTCCGATTCGATTTAATTCGAGCCCGATTTAAAAATCGAATTGAATCGAGCCCAAAATAATTAAATTAATTTGATTAATGGTCAAATAAATTCAAATGATCATCATCGAGTCAATTTGACTCGAGCTCAAAATCACAAAAAATTAATTTGTTTATTAATCAAATACATTTAATCGAGCAAAAACGAGCCAATTTTACTCGAATCTGATGTGATTTGAAGCTCGACGGTTTCAATCAACTCAATTTAATGTAGATCAATCCAATTGAAATTAAATTACTGTCAAATACATTCTATTAAATTTATCTAAACTCAAAAATCTAATTTTCAATATTTAATTCAGCCTCTTTCAAAAATTTATCCCTCAAATGCTCTCAATTACAGCCAATTAAATCTTAGCCCTTGATTTCAAAATCAAGAAGTAATGATAGGATGGTAATTAGCTCCAAATAGAATATATGGTGAGTCATATTGCATACAAATAAAAATTAGCCATGGAAATTTCAATCATGTTAACAAGAACACCTTAATCTAAACATATCACAATTTTACTGTTTCATTTATTTTGATTAGGAACAGAAGAATGAATGAATATAACCATATGAAATAAAATAGGTGCAGCTTCCATTACTCATTTTACCACTAAAATTATGTCATAAATAAGAGAAAAGAGTGCAGTTATCAACAGATTATGGAAACTAATCATATGCAAAACTTAAACAATTAACTCAAAGAAAACTTCTCAGATTTTTAATCAAAAAATCGGGAAATCCAAACCTTAAATATCTTAATTACCAAATGAATAAACCAGGAATAAGAGAAAGAAATAGTAGTAGTAATAGTAGTAGTAGTAGAAGAAGAAATATTATGATGATGGAGAAGAGAAAGGATTACTGAGGGAGAAACGAATCTCTCAATTGCTCTCTCTCCCTCACGTTGAATCACATGAAGCTCCTCTCTGTCACCGCCTCTCTGTCTCACGCCTCTGTTCGCATGAAAACAACAAGGGGTCAAATGAATTCAGCACCCTTGCCGCCCAAACACCCTTTATTAAAACCTAGAATCATCTATTTGAAACTAATTAACATTCTATCCTTCCTCCTTGATTTTGAAATTAAGGGCTAAGATTTAATTGGCTGCAATTAAGAGTATTTGAGAGAGAAATTTTGAAAAAGAGTTGAATTAAACTTTCAAAATTAGATTTTTAAGTTTAGATAAATTTAATTGAATGTATTCGAGCTAATCGACACCGCTTTAATTTATATTGGGTCAATTCACATTAAATTGAGTTTTGAAATCCAAAAATAAAAGATTGCACAACGCTTACATGGATGTGTATGCTACAGGACAAAAGATGAAATCAAGGTCAATGTTCACTATAGTTCTTGTACATGAATATGCACGCCACAATACCGACAATATATCACCATGAGAATAAAAAAGCAACTACTATCAATGAACTCTTTTAGAAAGCTACAACAACAAATTTGCAAGGAAGCTGCAACTACCATCCCAAATAAGTTTCTTTTTTGCTAATGAATTTTGTTCTTCTTGACCCTACAAGCATCCAAATGTACAATCGATTTCTAGTCTCACATAAAACTTCTATGATAATCTTCTTAATGAAATTCGTCCCATCCCACATCAATTTTGGCTCAAGTTAAAACTTCCAATTGTCCCTCTTAATAATTTACCATACAATATTAATAATTACAACCTTTCAAATACCACCATCTTATCCTAGAAATATTTATTTTAATCTTGTTTTCATATTTTAAAGCTACACATCCATTGATACCTAGTCTATATTGTGTGGCTAAAGTTTATCCTAGAATCGCTTAACAATCTCTATTTTAAAAAGTTAAACTAACATAAATTATATATTCTTAATTTTAATATGTTAAAAAATATATAGACAATTGACAATACAAATAGGGTTTGAGATGAATAAACATCTAGCATTTATTTTAGCAAATGAATTGAGAAAAAAACTAAATTTAAAGGAACAATTTGCCAAAATTTGCTTAGCTTGCACCTAAACTTCCACTCACCTGACTTAAGCCGCACAAACCCCGCAATTGACCTTTTGACAATATTAGCCAAAAAGTGCATGAATAACAAGCAAAACAAAGCTTTGGCCCAATAATCAATTTTAGAAAACATTAACAATTTTGCCGAAAAAAAATATACAACTACTGCAATAAGGCAAAACGCAACTATAACCTACCAACCCTTAAAATCTTACATATGAAAAATAAAGGGGATGAGAAGGTGCACAAACATGAAAAAGCAATCTAATTATAAAGAAGATGAGGGTTATTAGCTAAATTCCTTGCTGAAATTTCTAATATTTCTATTAATAGGCAGACAGTACAAGACTATAGAAAAAAAATAATTGATAGGAACGATTGTAAGCCTACAAATGACAAAATTCAAAACTAAAGTCACGGTTAAAACCATCTTTAGCATTGCCTCATGTTATTTAACAAAAAAATAGATGATCACCCAGTTTTAAATCCTCCATTAGCTCAACAGGACCAACATTGATTAATTGACCACAAAGAAACGCAATAGAGGTAATAAGTTAGCTTTCGAGAGCTAAATTATTACTAGCAGATGGATAAGTACAGCCAATATTCAATTGTCACTAACATCAATAAATGTAGATGGCATTTTCATGTATTCAACCCTTTATGCTCCTCATAGGTCTTCTAATAGATCTTAAAAGATACACGCCAGCCATTTTTACTCCTTTTATTCTTTTTTTTTTTTTGCTGCCTGGCGATTGCAAGGGAAGGAAAACCTGTAAGGTACAATCCTCTGTAGTTTGCTACATATATGATTTTTTTTCCATAAAAATCCTGTGATTACCACTTCTTTGTGAGCAAGGACGTCAATTAAATTGTTTTATAAACACAGCCATTTAAATAGACTAAATTCTGGGGGCAACTGCCTCAGCACAACCTACCATATCTCTACAACAAAACTAAAGTTAATTTTACACGGTTTCCAGATAAGTCATAATACTGACTGAAGAACATCAGTGGTTAGAGTATGAAATAAAAAAATAAGAATATTGCAGCATTTGTTATTGCATGATATTAAGTGGACTTAAAATCATAAATCATGATCGTAAAAGATGATAAGATTTATATCAGGAAAGTATGTAAAGAATAAGGACTCATGTATAAAACTATACTATTTATCTGAAGAACATGCTATGCATCATTGGATTCTCTTGACCTCTACAAATGAAAGATGCGAGAAAAGAGAACATTCCACAAGAAGACAATCAATTAAAAGGAAAAAAAGTCCATGCAATCTACCTAAAAGATGGGTAAAATCATTCATAATCGGTGAGCAATCACGATTAGAAGACAGCAAAAGAAATTTATAAGATTCTTTTCCCTTTCATATGATTGTAGAACAAAGAAAAAAGATAGAACCCTAACACATCTAGGCTAACTCTAGCAAATCTAGAAAGAAAAAAAAAACATAACGAGGTTTGAATAGATCAAGAGTTTACCAATAGTTGGGATGGTAGTAACAATCTCTCCGAGCTTCAGCTTGTAGAGGATCGTGGTCTTACCGGCAGCATCAAGGCCGACCATCAGAATCCGCATCTCCTTCTTCGCAAAGAGACGGCTAAAGAGCTTCGTAAATGTGAGCCCCATCTTTCTCTAAAGCTGAATCGCAAAGACAAGGCCTAATGAGCAATACAAATGCAAAAAAACAAATAAAAATACTTTGAAATTTCAAAAAAAAAAACAAAGGAAAAAAAAAAACGATCGAATGACAATTTTCCAAAACTACAGAGATAACCTAATTACAGATCTGCAACTGATGTGGGGCAGTATCGAATACCCAAAGCATAAAATGAAAAGAAACCTACAATGGAAGATGATAGTAATGGAGCAATAGGACGGCTCCTGACAACGATGAATTCAGATCTATAAATTGAAATTTTAGATCATCAAATATGTGAACAGATCAATAAAAAAAGATTTAAGATCTATCCAACTTTAAGGATATCGCGATGAGTAGAGGGAAGAACAAGGAAGATCTAGGAAACTAAAGGAATAGATCTATCAAAAGTAAAGAAGCATTACCAGGAGAAGTAAGCAAACAGATCTAGATGAATACTTCCAAGGATAAAGAAGACGAACTCAAAGCCCGATCGTCTTCCTCCTACGCGCTTCACAAAACGAATCAGGAAAAGATGATCTGCGAGAAATGAAGAAACTGCAAATTGCGCACTATATATATAGTTGGCTGACGCGAAAGCGGTCGCTATTCGGTAGAAGGCGATCCTGATTCGTGCGTCGAGACCACGCATGTGTGACCGGGGATGGCCCGCGACGGACCGGACGAAGTAGCCAAAGAACAAAACCAAGTATGACCGGTGTCAACCGGGTATCACCGGTTAGATGAAAGAATAAGGAATCGACTCAGTTGCGCTATTAACCTTGCTGGGCATTAGCGAGAAAATCGTTAGGTGCCGACAAATTATTTATGTTGATTTGTACTTAATATTATATTTTTGGGAAATTTACATAAATACCACTTTATTTCATACTATTTACATATCTAACGCCCAAAATATTAATATTACATGCCTATCACTCATATACAATTTTAATATCAAATATACCAGTTTTATGATTCATTTTCTATCATTCATACCATCATATAAACTTTAATATTTCATTCCATGCACCTAAATTTATTCTATAGTGATAGCCATATAATATTAATATTTTGAATGTTAAATATGTAAATAACATAAAATAAAGTGATATGTATGTAAAACTCCCTATATTTTTTTGAGAGATTTTACTTATCTCAATAAATTTTGTTATTTACATTTGTAAAAATGCTTTTATTATTTACCCATGCAGCATTCAAATTTATTTGAATGATATGAAAATAGCACTCTATCACATCCTTAATAACTTTCCAACTTATTGTCTCCTTCGTTGGAGTAGGACAATAGCGTAAATAGGTGTGCAACACAGTGCCTAATAGATGGCATGATTGTACTCGTCTCAACATTCTTACTGCTTCTTAAAATAACTTTATATTATAATTTTTATACTGAAAAATTGCTTTAAAAGATAATAAGAAAGCCGTCTCAAATAAAGCTTAAGTTGATTATCTTAATTGTTTTATGGATCGAACATATCAAACTTTATACAAACACGTCTACAACAAGAACAAGAAGATCAATCTTTGGATGTGAATAAAAAAATATTAAAGCTAGAAAAGATAGAATATAACCATAAAATTTTACTTTCAACCAAAAAATTAACACTCAATTATTTGATATTTCTATACTAAAATATATTTTTCAAACATTCAATATTTGACTAAAACTAAAACTTTAGGTGCCTTAGCAATCTTTCCGCATATGAAATCACTTCACATTAACTCACTTCCACTCAAAAAAGAAATACCAAATATCATTCATTGGAACTTGGAAGCCCATTCAATCTCGTGAATTTCACTCCCTTTTTTAATCTTGCTTAGTAATGTCAAAGAAAATAAGACTTCTTTCGAAATAATTTAATTAAAAATTACTTTTTTTAATTAAAATATTTTGTATAAAAAAATAACTTCAGAAACAATACAACAAAAGAAGTCACATTTTTGTCACTATAATAGCATTTCGTAGCCACTTTTTTGAGCCCATCCAATCTTTTGAATTTCACTCCCATTTTAATCTTGCTTAGTAATGTCAAAGAAAATAAGACTTCTTTCGAAATAATTTAATTAAAAATTACTTTTTTTAATTAAAATATTTTGTATAAAAAAATAACTTCAGAAACAATACAACAAAAGAAGTCACATTTTTGTCACTATAATAGCATTTCGTAGCCACTTTTTTGTAGCTGTAAACAGTGCGACGCTAATATAAGTAATTATTTTTTAAGTTTTTATAATTATTTTGCTTTATATAACTCAATCTAGTTTACAATCTAGACTTTTACATTTACATTTAACTCTTAACAATTATATTTGAGCCATTGTATATTTTACTTTGACCCTTTATTAGAAAAGAAATTATAAAATTATTTAAATTAGATGAGAAAGAATATATACAAAATATTATTTTTGGTTGTTAAAAATAAAATTCGAAAGTAATATAAGTACTTTTTAATACAAATTAGATAAAGAAAACCATACTAGTAAAGGCAGAGCTTTCTTTTCATACATGTAGGAATCATCAAAAGATGAATACTTGATGAAAAGCTTGAGATATAGGTGTTTTGAGGCAAAGATGCCATCGAAAATAATATTTTTTGATTAAAAATATCAACATATTCCACAGACTTTGTAGGTTAAATCATAGGCATTCTTGATAACCCAATAAAATTGGCCAACAATGGGGCATAACTGAGCTAAGAAACTCTACATTTTGATCTGTTACTTTTCAATTTGCAGAGAAAGAACAGAGAGCTCAGATTACAGAACCACTGAAGCTAGTTGGGCTCAGAGCCTCAATCTCATACCTGACCTCCTCCAGGTGCTCATTGATGCTTGTTACTGCATCTTGGACTCCTCTAATGGCTTCCTTGAGAGAGTTGTCATACTCGGCATCAGCCTCAGCATCCTCAGTTCCATCCTCTTCAGTTATCTCCCGGACATGCAGGCACTCATGCTTTGCTGTGTGGCTGAAGCGACAGTGTTCATGGCTCACCAACCTCTCTGATGGCCGACCAGCCTTCTTTAGAATCTGAATCTTTGCAGTCTGTTGTAGGAGATTTACAGAAAATCATCAGCAAGAAAAAGTTGAATTCATATGAACTGCTTTTGGAAAGCCAACTACAACTAAAATGAGCTTCTGGAAAAGTTTAGAGTGGTTAGCTTAGAAGTGGTTTTACTGGTAAAGAATGAAATCTGGAATGTTAAGTTGGCAAACATAAAAAACAAAACCTTTCAACTTAGTCCAAACGCTTAAAAAAAGATGCATGGGAAGCGCGTGCAGCTCGGTGGTTGAGCGAAGGGGATTTTGATAGACCGGCTGATTTGATTGGGAGGGAATTAGGAAGTTTCCTAATTAAGATGGAACTATTTAGGAATGTTCTTAATTAAAGGGGAATGGTTTAAGAATGTTTTAATTACAATTGGAAAGGAATTATTTAGGGCAAGAGATCTAATTTGAATTCAAAATCTAAAAGGGAATTATTTAGGGAAGATGAGGAGGAATTAAGGGGGGTTATTTAAGAAAGTTTTAATTATTATTCAGAGGAAATTAATTAGGGAAATAAATCTAATTTGAATTCATATTTGAGAGAGAATTATTTAGGAAAAGGGGGCTGATTTAGGAGGGAATTATGGGAGCTTATTAAGGCTAACAATAGGATGATTTCAGGATTATGTTTGGAGTTTGCTGAAATTAGAATTTCTTAGGTTATTTGGGCTGTAACCAAAAGCTAGGGGTTGAAAGAGTTAGATCTTCCTCTCGAATTAAAGATCCAACTGTATCTTGCTATTTTCTTTCATATATATTGTAATAAAAATAATTTTGATGTGTTTTTCTTCCTAACTTCTTATTGTCATTCGCTGATTTCAAGAAAAAGTGCATCCACTTCCTATCAGATTCCTCCCCACGGCTCCTGTTCGATCCCTTAACGGCCCAAAAAAAAAACAGATGCATGAATAGAGCAGGTCGTATTTGAACACGTATATGCTTGTTTAAGCATTGAAGGGAAACTTGCTGCCAGCCAGCATTTGACATTTTTAAATTCCGCTTTTACTTTTTAGGCACTTGTGCTGTGTACCTTTAACATGTTAACATGTTTCCCTTCTTATTCTTGTTGTTGGAAGGTAGGATCATAGCTGAGTGATTACTGTAGACTAGCAAATGATCACGAACACACACATGGACATGGTCAAGAGACTACGAATACCCAGCCTTAGCAGATGGGTCATGATGACTAATATGCAGTTACATTGACTTCTTGTGAACAATTGATGCATTAATTTCAAAAGAGGGTAGAAAGTTGAATGGAGATAACAATTAGTAGTGAGACCTTATGGGAACCTATAAATGGAGAGCCCTAACTAGGGGTTTAAGTGAGCAGAGTTGGCTCAAGCTCGACTTGTTTATGAGCTCGTGAGCCGAGCTTATCGAGCCACAAGTTGGAGCTTGATTAGGTTCGGCTCAAGAGCTCGCGAGCCGGCTCAAAATTATTAAATCCGAATAGTTTTTAAAAAATTAGTACTAAATGCTATATAAATCACTCCTGCCTATAGTTTAAATTCCAACCAGCATATATTTTGAGAATTCAAAGTGATTCTCAAATCTCAATTTTTTGTCTCTCTCTCTCATAGCAATAAATGCTAATAACTCTCCCTGACAAAATTCAAAAAAACTGCTCTCTCTCTCTCTCTCTCCCTCCCTGATGATATTTTGCTTTTTGCAGGTGCTTCTATCCCTTCTGTGAAGAACAATATTTCAATATTGGAGGATTGCTCTTGAACGGGGCAAAGAGTGAATAGAAGTAAATGTGCTATTCTATTTAGCAAAAAGACTTCTTCTACTACAAAGTCTAGACTGGCCAGGATTGCGGGCTGCCGAAGAGTGGAGGAAATAGACTATTTGGGGATCAAATTAGCTTTGAGGAGACTTACAAAGAAAGACTTTGCTCCATTAATTCAGAAGGTGCGTGGCCACACATTGTCTTGGGGAATTAGACACTTTTCTTTGGCAGGGAGAATCACGTTGATAAACTCAGTGTTGATTCCCTCATATGTTTACTTAGTGTCCCACACACTTGTTTCAAAATCTGTGCTGAATGATGTGGAAAAGATTTGCATAAGTTTTTTGTGGGATATTGATTCTGAGCATAGAAGCCTTCATTATGCTTCTTGGGAGGATGTTTCTAGACCAAGGAGGAAGGGAGGATTGGGTTTTCATACTAGTGCCAAATGGGTTGGACCGTTAAGGGCAAGGATTGCCTGGGATTTTATAAGTAAACCTATGAACTTATTCCAGAATTGTATGAAACAAAAATATGGTAGCTGGCCGTGGGATTATATAGGTAAACGTGGGGATTCTGTTGGCTGGAAGGTTTTACTGGATGGAGCAAATAGCCTTGGTTGTTGCATTCGTTGGAAAGTTGGCATTGGCAGTGACATTGAGGTTTTGAATCATATTTGGATTTGGGATAGGGCCATTTCTTCTTGGCCTAGATTTTGTGATATTACTGCCATTGAAAATTCTCGGGTAGCAGATTTTCTCACGGATGAAGAAGATTGGGACAGACCGAAATTGTTATTATGCTTTGGTGAATTGCTTGTGGATAGAATTATGGGAATTCATATTTACAAGGAGCTTGGTTCGGATTCTCTGGAGCTGTTGAAGAATCCGCTTGGCTCTACCATTTCTTCCATTGTTTATAACAGAATTTTTCTGGATGAAGATGATCCGTGCTGCAGCATTCTTAAGGCTGGTTTAAAGCCTCAGATTACGACATTCTGGTGGAGAGTTTATAAGGCTATTATTCCAACAAATGGGTGGCTTCACACGAGAGGGCTTGAGGTAAATGTTCATTGTCCTGTAGGTTGCAGTATGCTTGAGGATTTGGATCATGTAGTACTGGGTGTGATCAATTGCATGACATCTTGAATGTCCTGGAGAGCTGGGGTTTTCATACCCCACGGTTTGTATGTCTTTTGGAGCTGCTGGGAGCATTGGAGGATAATGCTAAGGCTAAGGAGATGTGGGTGGTGCTTTATTGTAATGCTGTGTACTATAGCTGGATGAATAGAAATGCTTTCAAGCATGGGAAGGATCGTTGCACACCTATCTTTCCACTTGGCTGCATGTATCTTGGAAGGTTTCTATCAAAGTTCTCTTTCTTTCCACTTGGAGCAACGGGACCTTTTTTAATCCTTTGGATTGTCTTCTCTTTCGTCTTGGTGTCCCCCCCTACAGGATGGTTGAAAGTTAATGTTGATGGAGCTCTACTTAGATCCAATGCAGGTGGAATTGGAATTGTTATTCGGGATAGTATGGGCAAGCTGGTTGTAGCAGCTGGTTGGAGTATTTTCCATCGGGATAGTACTCAGGTTGAGATGATAGCCATTCACTACATTGATAAGCTTTTTGTGGAGTGGATGTTTGAACTTAAGGGAGTCATTGTGGAAGGGGATAATGCAAGCGTGATTGAGTATTTTCAGATGTTCAAACATAAGGAATTATGGAAGCAGCAGCCTGAGGATGTGGATAAATGGAGCAGGATGAAACTATTCCAACAGGTACTGTTTGTGCATACTTACAGAAGATTAAATATGGCGGCCCATTTTTGTGCTCAAAGAGCATTAGAGGATTCCTTTCTTTGGGATATAGGAGATAGAAATATATATATTCCTCAAGAATTTTTAGATATTCTTGAGGATGATAGCAGCTCTTTTTCTTTCGTTTAGGGGCATGTTAGCCCTTTTTTTTCTTTGCTTGGTTGTACTAGTTTTTTTATGAATGCAAATGCAAAAGTTCAACTCTCTCTCTCTCTCTCTAGTTTTAATTTTTAAAAAACTTCCCTCCCTCTCTCCCTCTGCAGTTTTAATTTTTTAAAAATTCTACGCATGTATTTTGAGAACCGCGGAACTTCAAAAGTTGTGATTTGGGAAGCCGAACCGGACCGCACTGGAGCCTCGACATGCGGCTCGATGAACGGCTCAAACTCGTTTACATTGGAACGAGTCGAGCTCGAGCTCAACTCGAGTTCGAGCTTAAGCTTGGTATTTAACAATTGAGCTCGACTCGAACATCCCCTAACTCAAGCTCGACTCGACTCGTTTACACCCCTAGCCCTAACCAGTAGAAGGAAGATCAAATCTAATTCCTAGACTTTCATTTGCAAGTTATAACGCAAGAGTTATTGGAGGTTACCTAGTATGCTTGAACCTATAAACAATCCTGATAGGCTCAGTCCGCACGGTTTCTCTCCTCTCTCTCTCTCACACACCTTTCTCCTCCATCCTTGAACCTCTTTTGGCTGGATGAATATTAAAATACCTTTTGTAGTTATAATCTCCTGTCCTTCTCCTCACTATCCTTCCACATGAACACCTGTGTCCAGCAATAACAGGTTTGCTGAGGTGGAAGCAATAAGATTCAGGCGTGCAGTTTATTCTCGCGCCTTTCAGCCTATGAGTCAAATCTCCCAATCAAACTTGTCTTACAATTTGTTAATTTTGCTTTTAGAATTTGTAACTGAAAAAAGATATTACGATGCTGCTGTTACCTTCTTGTTATCTTTTTAAAAAAATTTAAGCACAGCATACTATAATATAATCACTAACAAGAATTGTCACAAGCGAACTTTGATCAAAATCCAATTAAAATAACAAATCAGAACAGGTGCTTTAATGCAAATGAATTCATTTGACATGCGTGTAAATTATTGATGAATACCTTATGAATGATAGGTCCAAGCAAAGACTCTTCCAAGATTAGTTTCATCGTCTACTTGCTGTTTTAGTATAATTCTATTCTATTAGCACTCCTATAACAAACTAGACACTTCCATAAAGAAGAATTATAAAATTACGTAATAAAATAATAGTAATCCAATGTCACACATTTATCTAGACCAAAAATCACCTTGTAACTACTGTGATGGGGAACATCTTAGTTATAATAGAGCTTAGGTCTAGTGCATTTTTATATTCTAAAATGTTCGATTTGCTTTATAAATAGCAAATGTTAGGTGTAAGGAGGAGTGAAGATTATTATCTACTTTTAAGCCTTGAGCTTATTTTTTTTCTCAAGTTTTGTTTGTTCCTTCTAGCATATCATTTTTTCCATCGATGAACTACATCAGCTGGTATCAGAGTCTGGAGCTCGCGAAGAATGGCGGACTGCGGAAGAAGATGAGTTCTAAACGATTGAAGCCGAAAAAGATGGGTTGTCAATGAGGACTGACGATGGTCAACGCCAAAGAAGATGGGTTGTCGATGACGATCAAAGCCATGAAGCCTTTTGGGCAGCTCAAATAAATGCATCACCTGATAAATTAGATGATTTTTGTTTTAATTTCATTCGATCCGTAGAAAGAATACGCAAGTCGGCAACCATACAGACGCCTTCGCTCCTTTGCTTCTCCAGTGCGTCGGCCCCGCTCTAGCATGATTTTACCCTCAAGCTTACCGAGCAATCCCACCCCAAAGAATCTTCCGAACCTTTGGTTGTCGTGAGCAGAAGAAACAAACTGCGTAGCACGAGAAAGAGACCCGCGAGGAGATTCAGCGAAAAGGCGTGGTAGGGGATAAGTCGAATGAGGCTCTCGCTCAGCACAAAAAAGAGGTTGCTGCAGAGCTCTAAAATGCCTTTGACTTGCATGTGGATCGGCATTGGACTGAGAAGATTCTTCAGGAAATGACCAAGAGAGATCGGCGCATCTTCTGTGAAGACAACATCTCCTACAAGGGGTATCGTATCTCTCGACCTATGCGCAAATGGAGCGAGTAAGCTCAGCACTAAGCTTCTTAAGGCGGTTAAGAAGGCTGACTACAAGAAGCCATCTCCCATCCAAATGGCAACCATTCCTCTGGGTTTGCAGCATCACGATGTTATCGGCATAGCTGAGACTGGTTCAGGAAAGACCGCTGCATTTGTCCTGCCCATGCATATGTACATCACCCGGTTACCACCCATGACAGAGGAAAACGAGGCTGAGGGCCCTTATGCAGTTTTCATGGCTCCTACAAGGGAGCTTGCCCAACAGATTGAGGATGAAACTCTGAAATTTGCTCATTATTTGGGAATAAAGATTGTTTAAATTGTCGGTGGCTAGTCCATAGAAGATCAAGGGTTCAAGCTCAAGCAGGATTGCGAGGTTGTTACTGCAACGCAGGGCCGCCTAATTGATTGTTTAGAACGTAAATATGCTATTCTTAACCAATGTAATTACTTGTGCTTGATGAGGCTGTTCGAATTATAGACATGACCTTCAAGCAATTTGAAGTCTTAGAATGAGGACGAGGAGCTTGATGAGAAGAGAATATACCAAACAACCTACATGATCAGTGTGACCAAGCCTCCAGCAGTGGAGAGGTTAGCTAGGAAGTATTTGAGGAATCCTGTGGTTGTGACTATTGGTATAGCTGGAAAGGCTACTGATCTAATTACTCAGCAGGTGGTCATGTTGAAGGAGTCAGAAAAGATGCAAAGACTTTTGAAGCTGCTAGATGATCCTGGGAATAAGACAGCTATTGTATTTTGTAATACAAAGAAGATGCCGATGCACGGGCGTGGCGTGCTGGAAAGAATGGTGTGGCGACTACTCTCTTGACCTTGGGTGACACTGAGGTTTTCTATGATCTTAAACAGATGCTTGTTCAAAGCAATAGCCCAGTGCCGCCTGAGCTTGCTAGACATGAGGCTTCAAAGTTTAAACTTGGAACTATTCCTGATAGAATTCCGCGGAGAAATGATACCGTATTTGCTCAATTTGGTATCGTTGAAGAAGCAATGAAGAAATTATTGAAGCTCTACATTTGCATTGGTCGGTCAGGTCAACTTGTTGATGTTGAATCCCGAATCAAATCCATGACTATAGAAGCATATGAAGATATATAGAAAAACCTTTTGTATGCATTCAAAATCTTTGGCCCAAGATGATTGATTTTGATGTCTTCATCTACCTCCCTCCCTCCCGATGACGCGCCCCGACGGAGTCAAGCTCTTCTGACGCAATGGGAATATGATGTGGAACATCTTAGTTATAATAGAGCTTAGGTTAAGTGCGCATTTAATTTCTAGAATGTTCTATTTGCTTTATAAATAGCTAAAGTTAGGTGTAAGGATAGGAAGAAGATTATTATATCTTTTTAAGCCTTGAGCTTATGTTTGTTCTCCAATTTTAAGTGTTCCTTCTAGCCGATATTTTCTTCCATCGACCCACTACATCATACTATATTGAAGTAAATAAATATAATTATCCTTAACTTATTGTCAATCATGCACTTAAAACACATAAATAAATTAATTTATGTTTAATCTTATAAATTGATAGTTTAAAATGATGCAGAAGCAAGATCTACAGAATAAATTACTATGGAAGCAACCTCTACAGAAGTTACACATACATTTTTACCAGGAGCAGGCAGGCCCCAAAACTAAGAAATGACCAACGTTTCTATTTCTTGGCAACCATTTGAGCAAATTATTATACATTAGCTTCAACTTCTTCACGAAGTAATGACATCTATAAACCTAAAGAAAGATAAGGAGGTCATCCAATAATCATAGACTTGAAAAAATGTTAAAGTTTATCAACTTCTAGCTGGCATAAAATCGAATGGTTTGGGTCTATCCTGTGATGATGCAAAAGCAGACTATCAAGCAGCAATAAGGTCATCTAAGGGCTAAAATAAGTAAATAACCAACACGACACCTCTTAATGAACTTTTGGACTGATATTCCAAAGAATATGATTTGCCAATTTAATCCATGTTTCTTTCGACATTAGCAATCCGGATCCTTATATCCTATTAAGCAGAAAAATTCAAACATAACCACTATGATGCAATTCTCAATGAAAATTGACTGTGTTAGGGTGAGCAATTTGACATATAACTTTTACTTTGATAATTTTAGTTCTTTTCAGGAGTCTTAGGTTTCGTTTGGAACGGCTTTCTTACTTCTTCTTAAAGCAGCTTTTTAGTACAAAAGTTTTAATTTTTATACTTGAAATCTGCTTTAAAAAGTAGGAAAAAAACCGCCCCAAACGAAGCCTTAATCTCAGTAAAATGTGTATGACAATGAATATGATGTACCAAGGAGCAAAATGTGGTCTGTTTTGATTCGTTGTTTCCTGGTTTCTCCAAAATTTCTATGTTGGGTCCTTCGTTCTCAAGGTACATAGTTGCTCCGTCGGTCAGCCTTCTCTATACAGGTGTCATTCGAGGCTTGCCAGATGGGTGACCTTACTTCTATCATCTTTATCACACCTTGACCAGCTCCACCTCTTAAATCCATTGGTTTATGTGTGATTAGTGTACCTACTTCTGTTATGATTATGTTTTACAATCACGCAATCATAATTGCGTGAGTCTTGCAGCTTGTTCTATCACAATTGTGAGGAGTTTTGATCGCAATTTGTGAACATGCGAAAATTCCAACTATGTGGAACTTGAGGAAAAATCCAAAAGAACTTTGAAATAAAGTTTAGTTGGATGTGCTACTCAGATTACTCCTGCTTCCAATAATGTATTTGAAGGTTTTCGAATGTGACTATCTCCTTGTTCAAGTATAAGGCTTGATTATTCTACTTTTTGACAATTATTTCTTTATATTTTATTTATTTTCTCTAAATTTTATTATTGGATTGATTGTGATTAATTTATTCAGATATCATAGAATATGAGTTTCAAAGTGTGCGTAAATTTCAATTAATAGTGTGAATTTCACTTAAATTGACTTCGTTTGTATTTACATTTCAACTAAACCAAAAAATAATTGAGAAAAAAAAAAGAGTTTGTAACATGTAAATGTTGTCAATATTATTTACCCAAGACCCTAAAGCATCTACATTGCATTCACTTTTTATAAGAGTTTACATAAAATTCATTTCCATTTTCCCAATGAATGAAAATTCAAAAAGTTCAAAGAACATAATACAACAGGGAAATATAAAGGAAATAACAAAAATAATAATAATAAAGACAATTTCCACTTGCTACTTGATTGTACCAAATGTTTCATTTGACTTGTAAAGAGAGACAAGAATCAGCAAATGGTAAAACTAGAAGCTAGCTACATTCAGGCTGTACTCCTGGGAGCACTGCGTAGCTTTAGTCAGTAAGGGTAGAAAAATTGTAGAGGGGATTAAACATATAATTCAATTCAACAACATAAACTAATTAAGCTCCACATTCAACAACGTAGCTGCATTATGGTAGTCTAGTATTCACTCCAGCCAGTTTTGTATAAAAGCATTAGAAACAACAAATATCTACTGCTCAGTAGCATCTAAAAATAATGTTATACTCTAACTAAATTAATTGCAGTGTGAGATATCTAAGCATATGGAATAATTAAAGCAAGTAATTTACTACAACATAGGATAAATATAGCAGAAACCATAATGCACATTTTTTCCTCTGTATTGTGAATATTTTAGGCTGAGGATATGATTTGTACGAGGTAATTGTAATAAAAACAAGTAGAACAATATCACAAGCCATTTACCAAATGCAATTTTTGCTTCTCCTCCGCCTGTACATCTTTTAGAAGACAAGCAAGATCGTTACGAGATATATCTGGCATCAAAAATAGTGATTCCATTTCAAGGACCTGCAAAATACTAAGATTACATCTTTACCCATCTATATTATCAAGTAAAAAGGATGGTCGGGAAAGGAGATAAAGAGAGAGAAAAATTGTCACAAAGTAACTTGCTTGCTTTGAACAATCATTGAACTCAGTAGTGATATCTGAACATAGTTTTTGATAAGCCAATTCTCCTCCATGAGCCATGTATTCTGAAAAACCCCTGCAAAATAACACAGTTGTTAAATAAGAAAAATCACTACTTTGCATAAAAAGACAATGAAAATTTTCGAAAACTTGAGCAAATGATCACTGATGGTAAGAGTCTACGAAAAGGCAAATTATTCTATGCAGAAGCCGAACGCCGTCCAGAGACCAACCAGAATGTGCCACGTCACCCCCGCTCGGTACCGCTCGGTACCGTAATCGATACTATTGACGTGGTGCATTATGGTTGGTCTCCGGACGGTGAACTGCATTCGGCGTCCACACATTATAATTTCTCCTACGAAACACCATAAATATATCAGAAGTGCACAAGTGCCCACCTCAATCAATAAAATGCTTGCCAACAAATGTTTTTGGATCTACCCATCTTGCTATTGTCTAGCAGAAAGAACCTTTTTGTGTAGGTTGTATGCTTACATGTATATGGGAATTGCAAAAGATCATATTGATTCCAATGTTCAGGTTGGCTTTTGTCAAAGATGATTGATTCAATGCAAGTGGATTGTTTTGTACATATAAAAAATTATTAAGAATGGCAAGAAGAAAAGTATGCTGGTTCGTACCTCAAAATTTTGGTGTAAGAAATCAACACTTTTGCCAGGAAACAACCCACTCAATATTATTATATTCCACAAACAAAGAAGCTAAAATTAAAAGAAAAAAATCACAATTTTCTCTAGCTTCAAAGAGGATTTACGTATATTATCAAGCGTAACTCCAAAACTATGAGAAAGAACAATACCACTAAACACAACGAAGAACAACTCAATCTAAATAATAGAATATATCGCATAAGCCCACGCTGTGATATTAGAAATAATTAAAAAAAAAAGCAAGATTTATGAATGAAACCCTCAACTGATAGAGAAAAAACAGATCGCCTCCGATAAATCGCAGAGTCTAATAATCCAACTTTCGATAACTAACAAAATTAATACTTCGGATATCACAAGAGTAAAAAATTGAAACCTGCGAAGAAATTTATCTCAAATCCATATAAAGAGAAAGGTGATGTGAATTCACGGAACAAAAAAACCGATAAATATGAACAGAATCAAATTGAGGAAATGAAGTACCGGTGCCATCTGGCGTATGCCTTCGCCCTCCGCTGCTGGACTCCGAGAAATCTCCTAAGCAGGTCAAGAATTTTAGCAGACGTCGAGCTCAAATCGATATCCATCGCTTCCATTCCTTTCACAACATCACCCTCATAGACTTCCATTCCCTTCTCCTCTGAAATCCCGAAGTCTTCCATCTTCCCCGTTTCACCCCCGGCTCAAGGCCCTAACTTGGCGGTTCTGCCCGCTTGATCTCTCCGTTCGCCATAAAAAGATCTGACGAAATCATGAAATAATATAAATTGTATTACATCTAATACAAGTAATTCACTTTTACTATGATAAATTTATTTTAGAACAATTTATTGGTATCAAAAAGTTCTTTTGATACGGGTATCTTTGAGACAGCTTTTTTTTTAATTTTTTTTAATGCTGAAATTATAATTTTTTTTAGAGTTATAAATGAATTAAGTGTTGAACAAGCCATTTGTGATTAAGATTGATTATAAATTATTTATAATTATTTAATTAAATAATTATATTAATTTGAATATTTTTTAAAAATAATTGAATGTTAAATAAACAAATTTGAATAACTATATGTTTAATTTGTTTAAGTTCATAAACAACGTCATTTAAAGCTCTTTAACAAGCTCACTATGAAGCTTGATAAAAAGGTTGATTCATTTTTATTTAGAACTAAATATATTTCTTAAGATCGACTTAATTTTTATTTGATATAATTGCTTATAATTTTTAGTTTTATTATAATAAATAATTTTATTTTATAAAAATTTAATTTTATTTTTTTATGTTATACTATTTCAGTAGAATGAATTATTCATGAACAAGAGGTAGGGGGATCAGACCCTGGCAACGATTTCACTTTGGTTCGTGCTAGACCTAGTATAACTGGTGCATCTCGGGGGAGATTTCGTGGGAGAGGTCGTCGTAGACGCTAATGTTTCTGCTGTTTTGTCCTTGCTCTCTTATCGGGATTCAGTTGCTTTTACACTGTTTTGATTGGCTGTTTGCGAAGAGTTAAGGGCTATGATGTGGTTGGGGCTCGCGTCCCTGTGGTTCAGCTAGTGGCAACCTTTGGTGTGGCTTCTCGGGTCGGTTATTTGGTTGTTACCCACCTTACTGGACGGTCCGTGCGTGTCTTCAGAGACGCTGGTAACCCTGGCCGATTACTGAGCCCGCTCCTTGGCTGTAATTTTCCTTTTTATTTTTACTTTATTTTCCTATCATGTTGTAACCGTTGTTGTTTTTATTATTAATATATTAATGTTTCTTTAAAAAAAATTATAATAAATAATTTTATTTCATAAAAATTTTATTTTATTTTTTTATGTTATACTATTTCAGTAGAATGAATTATAATAAATAATTTTATTTCATAAAAATTTTATTTTATTTTTTATGTTATACTATTTCAGTAGAATGAATTATTCATGAACATGTCGGGCTTGTTTGGTAGCTTGAAAACAAAAGCTATATATATTCGAGAGTAGGATATACGATAATTGATTGTTGTTAAGTTTGATAAGATTAACAACAATCAAACTTAACAAAAATCAAATATGAGCATCTATTATTTGAAACAAATCAAGTTTGAATAAAAATAGAAAACTCTAATTGTGCTCTAACCGAGCTTTAACAAGCTAATAATAAATGAGCTCGGACAAGAAAAAGCACTTGCTTAGCTCATTTATAATGTCATTGGATCTAATGGAAGGAGTGGATTTACTTAAACCTATATTTAAATAATGCACCTACTAATCTTAGACAACTAAAACTACTAAAATTTTCCTGCTTCAATTCATCAAAATATAATTATAATAATCCAAATCACGAAAATCTGTATATCAAATAATTAAATGATGGATTACAAAATCATATCTTAGTAATTCATATTCAAAATCATTTCCTTACACTTGATCTACTTGGCAAGATCTTTATCATTTCCTAAAGGCTAAAACATTAAAAAATAATAAAAGAATAGGCTCAATTAGCTCAATAAACTCCTTCCCTTGCCCCTTTATAAGCATTAAATATTTCAATAACATTTTAAGAGAGGTGTTAATAGTTGACCCAACCCAAAACTTGACAGGGAAAATTCAGGGTTCGGGTCAACCTGTTTGCGAGACGGGTAGGGTTTAGTTTAGGTTTTTCGACTTGTTTCTAAAATCGAGTAGGTTTAGGTTGACATGAAAACTTGAAATCAATCAAAATGACCCGAAAACCTCGCCTGCAACTTGCTCCCGCACGTGCCCGCATTAGATCCTATGTCACGTCCACTCGCAGGCTTTTTCATCCGTTAATTTGTTTAGAGATTCTTAGATTTTCTTTAGATTTTGCTCCGTAATTTATTTTAATTCTTTTGTAGTCATGAGCTTGTGATAGATTGGTGATTGTAATGATCTCACGCTTTGTGTAAATGACATTTTTGTAGAAAAAATAGATATATTAATATATATGATTTTAGTTGATTTAGTTAGTTATTGTTTATATTGATGATTTATAAAAGTTATGATATATTTTTAAATTGATAAATAAATATTTTTCCCAAATTTGATTATGGGATGTTACACCCCATGCAGGCCGCACTCGCATCCGGACTCGGTGCTCGCCCGCACCCCGTACAGGTCGAGCTCTCCCGCTATCTACGCAGGTCGTGCCCGCACCCCACACCCACTCACACTTTAACTGAAATTGCATCATGATTTGCATATGCTGGCATCTGAAGTTCATAAACTTGATTTTTTTTTTTTTTTTTTTTTTTTTTTTTTTTTTTTTTTTTTTA